GAAACCTCCTAAAGCTCAAAGAGAACACCTGTTTTCAAAGCTTTATACTTATTATATTTGTTATTTTAGACTGTGTCAACATAAATGGAAAGAAATAAAAATATTTATATTGACAGATCTCCTCTAATCTCTCCAGTTTTGCAGGTTTGCTTTGGCTTCCTGTGTGTTTACGGGAAGATTTTAGAAGGATTTTGTTAGTTTTTAAGCTAAAAATGAGCCCTGATTTATTCATATTATTTACTCCTGATGGATTCTTTTGGACAGTTTTGTGGAAAGTATCTTCCTGTTTTTAAAGGTAAAGTTTCACCTTTCTACTGAGTATCTATTTGATATTTTATTTCTTATTAAATGTCATATGTTAGTTTTATTCATTTAAATTACTTTTTTTTTTAAACCACTTTTTACATTCTAGTCTTAAAATGATTCAATATAAATTTTTTTTATGAATTTTGATTTAATTTCTACTATATTTATATTCATATTTATCCAATACATTTTTTATTTTTCAATCTTTAAACCATTTTTTTTTACATTCTACTCTTAAAATGATTCAATATAATGTTTATTTCTTAATTGATTTAATTTTTACTATATTCATATTTATCTTACACATTTTTTATTTTTGCCGATAATTTCTTCTGTTTTGGGCGTTTGTTGTACATAAAAAAGCTCTCTCTAAGTAAAGATCATACAAAGATCCAGTTTGTATGTTTTTAAAAGCAGGACGGATAAATGACCTGGTGTTTTCTGAGCCGGATGAGTCCCCTTTCGGCCCGTTTGGCGGTTTTTCCACGCGTTGGCCGGGCGCCACGTCCCCGTCGGGGGTTTAAATCCCGCCAACATCCGGAAACACGACCGACAGGAATTACCGGCATTACGGGAACACGTGTGGCCGGTTTGGCGAGGATTAGCGCACGCCGCCGAGCGCCAAAAGGGCCAAATTCTGCCGTATTTACCGTCCACTAATCACATCAGAGCGGTTTAAACCCATTAATTACAACCGACGTCCGCTGGATTTGATCCAAAGTCCGGATTAATCCGACTCTGGATGATGGACGCGGCCTGATGAAGCTCGTTTGGCTGCTTTTATCTCAACTGTCGGCACAGAAATGAGACAAAAGAAGACTTTTGTTTGTCTCTTGACTCATTGGCTGCCAAAGACGTCTATAGACGTCTTTTATGTTTTTTAACGAGAGTGGCTGGGGGACGATCTGCTAAAGCTTGTCCGTAAATATGGGCTTCTAGACAGAGTATGTAGTAACAAATTGACCCTCAAGGGGGCAGTGCCACTTTTGATGGGAGATGAGCATAGACTGTAGGCAAATAAGAAAAAGGTAACGGTTGGCTATGAGAGAACATGTCGCCGGTGAGACGCAAGTCCAGGAAGAACGG